ACTTTGGAAAACATATTCAAACTGCAGCAAAGATGCAGGTTAGGAACGCGATGCTTACTTAATGGGTGAGGAAACTCAGGAATTTAGAGATAACATTTAAATTCAAGCAAAAATGTAAATGAGTTACCTCTCCAAAGTATATCCATGATGACTTTCATCTTTTAATGCACAGTTATGAAGGAAAATTATATCGTTTTAGCCACTCAATTTTCCACGTGTCATAGAATCTGGATTTGTACTGTTGCTTTTTGTATGTATTTCATAATGTTCAACACTTCAGTAATATCAAGCTTTTCTGCTAGAATCATCCACTTTGAGTGAGCAAATTTCTCACTTATGTTCATTTCAGTTCGCAAAAAAATCTACCTTTAATCCGCTATTCCTTTCTCATCATTTCTCAGTAAGCTGAAAGTGAATGATGAAGGAATGCTTAATGACTTATAAGTAGGGCCTGGCACAGACACCTAGTAGCTAGAGTCCTCACCTTACATGTGTCAGGATCTCTCATGGGCACCAGGTCATGTCCCAGCAGCCTCACTTCCCATCTGGCTCCCTGTGTGTGGCCTAAGAAGACAGTTGAGGATGGCCCAAAACCTTTGGACCCTGCACCCTCATGGGAGATCCAGAAGAGGCTCCTGTCTTTGGATTGACTCGGCTCCTGCCATTGCAGCTATCTGGGGAGTGAATCATTAGACGGAAGATCTTTCTCTCTGTCTCTCCTTCTCTGTATATCTGACTTTCCAATAAAAGTAAAATAACTTATAAGTAAACAGATGGTAGAGAATGACCTCTGGGTAGATTCAAATTATATTCCTATTTAGATGAACATGTGATAGAACTTAGTTGTTGTAATAAAATGTCCCTTAAGCCGATTTTATGGAGGTGAAAAATCTAATGCTCCACCCGTGACCTTATCTCAATCTGATTAACTTCCAAAGTCCCCCAAGTCCTTCAGACAACATCATAGTGCAATGCCATTCACCATGGAGGGAGCACAGGCATTCAATCCTCTGGTAGATACATTTCTGTTAACATTAAAAATTACTTTCTGGGCAGGCATGGTGATATAACAGTTTACCCTTCTGCCATCATCCCGTATGTGTACCAGTTCACATCCCGGGTGCTCCAATTCCAATCCAGTTCCCAGCCTGTAGCCTGACAGAGCAGTAGAAGATGGCCCAAGTCTTTGGGACCTGCACTCATGTGGAAGAACTGGAAGAAGCTCCTGGCTTCAGATTGTTCTGGCCTTTCTGGCCACTTGGGGAGTGGACCAGAAGGTTATGGATCTCTCTCTCTCTCTCTCTCTGTCCTTCTCTTTCTGAGGGATCTTCCTTTCAAAGAAAAGAATAAACTAAAAAATATGCTTTCAAACTTTCCTTTAACATTTTTGAAGCTAAAAACAAGTAAATATCCAAAACTATGTGTAGATCATGCAGCCATAAAGACTACCAGCAGATTTTGTATCACTGTCAAACTCTAAAAGCTTGATTCGCAAGCATGGATACAATAGTGTTCTAGAACAGTTCACAAATAAATAGTAGCCAGATTTTTTCGAAAAACAAAAAATGTGTTGCTTACCATTTGCTTTAGACTGAATACCCAAGCCCAGTTATTAGAACTAACTGCATTAAAACATTACCATTTGTTAACATCTTTTTTGGTGACAGTTGTTACATATTGGAACCCAGAGGAAGCACGTATTATCCTAATGATTTTCATAAACTGAGTTCTAATGTGTACTCCCCATGACTATTCACTTCATGACTTCCATGTTCAAATTTTCTATAACTCGATGTTGTACTTCTAGCATAATTTGCACTCTATAGCATTTAACTTAATTTATGTATTTGAAATTTTAGTTTTGATTATATAAAATTTTGCATATGTATGGGACACAGTGTGATCATTCAATATTACATTTAATGTATGATGACCAAATCAGGATTGTCAGTAATATTGTAGCCTTAATATTTCCCTATGTTTGAAGTCTTTGGAGTCTTCTAGTTCTTCATAAGATATGACAGGTTTTTGTAAACCATGGACATATGACTGTGAAATAAAACTCTAGGTTGTCCTTACTAAGTGTATTCTGTTTCCCATTCCCAATCCTTCCTCTATTCTGGAAAGTACGTTATAAATAGAATCAATTTAAACAACACAAAATGAATAATATAATTGTGAGAGCTATTTGATCACAGTGAACAGAAATATGAATTAAGACCTAAAATGCTCATGCTTTAATAAAATGGCAAACATGCAAATAACAGAATCATATTTCTTCTTCACTAACTTGTTTCTATGGAGTGATTTTAAAATTTTTTCACAAACATAGTGTTTTTCTCCCCTGAGACTTGGAGAGTTGGAAATTAGAAGGAAAAAGCTATAATTTCTTCTTGAATTCATTCAGCTTTGCTTAGCAGTTTGCACTAAATACTTTCCAGGGTCTACAATTACTCTATAAAGATATACATGTAGGTATCAAAGCCAAAAGAGTGACTTTATCACATATATATTGGATTTGAATATGCAATCAAAATGTGAGTTGACAGCAATGGTATTGTTTTGTGTAAGAATCTTTCATTTATCCTGCAGAAATTCTTAACACTTAATATAATGAGGAAAACACAGAAAATGAATTATGCACAGAAAGGAGAAGGAAAACTCTGGCTGTCACTCACTACATTTCTAAAAACAAACTTCAATAATTATCTGTTTCCATAGCCTATTTTATTTGCAATACTTTGACACACAACTGTTTTGTAACTGACTTTCAAACTCAACCATGAGATTTTAATATCTCTTGTGTTTCCCCATTTTTGTGCAGCAAATGTATTCTACACAATGATCTACATAATTTGCTTATTGTAAATTTTTGTCAGCCTGTGTTTTCAAAATGATGGATTTTGAATGTTGTCACAGGACTCCTCTGGTCTATCAAAATGTCAAGACTGAATGACAAATTGTATACTCTCTGTGCTATAATAAACATATAGTTAATTTCATCATCACTTTCCTCTGCTTTAGATTGTCAGTAATATTAATACTTTATGATTGGTGTAGATTGGATGTATAATACCCAAAAAGCTAAGTGACTAACATGTAGTTGATACTTAAGAAATTGGCTATCAGCTATTAATTAGTTTTTATTGAATATTGTATTACTCTCAGCAATACAATTTATTTTTTGAGATTTGTGTTTATTTTTATTGGAAAGACAAATATACAGAAGGAACTTCCACTTGCTGGTTCACACCCCAAGTGGCCACAAAGGCCAAAACTGAGCTGATCTGAAATCAGGAACAGGAACTTCCTTTAGGTATTCCATGTGGGTTCAGGGTCCCAAGGCTTTGGACCATCCTCTCTGTTTTCCCAGGTCACAAGCAAGGAGCTTAATGGAAATGGAGCACTTGGATATAAACTGGTAGCCATGTGGGATCCCCATACATGCCAGGCAGGGATTTAGACACTAGGATATTGTACCAGGCTTGCTATGCAATTTCTTAACAACAACTACAAAAAAATGTATTTATTACTGTAAGATATCTATCATTTCTGGACCATAAAATGCTTGATACATTTTTGAAGTCCAATCAGGTACTATTTTTAACATATTTCATTAACTCCTATAGCATAATTCTGAATCTTTTAAAAATTGTGGAGTGGATATCCATCAATGTAAACTGAGTAGTATAATGACTACTAAGTGGTAATATTTTGAAAACCACTGGACTTAGTGCGTACCTGTGAAAGAAAGCATCCATTCTACTCATTTTAATGTTTTTCTTTCAAATTTGATATTTTCTCCTGTACTTTCATTAATTATAATATCCCATAATTTGGTATCTGCTCTTTTATTTCTGTAAAAGTTTTAAAGTGAGAGTGAAGATAGATTTGATATCATTAATAAAGTATTATTTAAATTACTTTTTGTGTAGGTTTTCAATCCTCTGTATTTTTCCCTCCTACCATTTTCCTTTAGATTATTATACTAGTATAGTCCTTTAGTAACAGTTACAAGTTTAATGTTCTGCAATATAAGTGTATTATGGCAATATATATATATATAGACAATGGTAGAAAATTGTTGTGTACCAACATGCAAGCTACACAGCTGAGAGAGGGGCACTGACAGAATTAATTAAAAATAGGAAAAACTGGAACTGCCATGATAGCCTGGTAGTTTAAATCCTCATATTGCTTGTGTTTATTGGCGCTGATTGGTATTCCGGCTGTTCCACTTCCCTTCCAGCTCTGTGTCTATGGCCTGGAAAAGCACTAGAGGATGGCATGCCAGAGGGAGGCTTGCCTCCACCTTGTTCTAAGGACCTAGTCTGCATCAATAAGGTGAGACCACCTAGCAGAAATATGAGGCCTATTCTAAAATCAGGTCTTAGTAGACCCTGCACTCTGCTAGGGCTAAAGCTGAAAGTCCCAAAAAATGTAACTTCTAGTTGTCAAGGTATATTTCATTAGGAATCTTCCTTTTATTCAAAAGTAGAAATGCATAGTGCAATATATCTTTACTTCCTGGTATGTTAGTCTCCATTCTACAATTCACCCATGATAGTATATGTATATACCTTTTGTCTATATAACTATTCATCTTGTATTTTACATGAATGTTGACTTATGTCAAAGAGAATATAAGATATTCATCCTTTTGTGATTGGCTTATTTCACCAAGCATAAGGGTCTCCAGTTGGCACCATTTTGTTGCAAGTAATAGAATGTCATTCTTTTAAATGACCGAGTAGTAGTTCAAGGAGTAGATATACCACAATTTATTGATTCCTCTTTGGATGGACCTCCAGGTTGTTTCCATGACTTGGCTATTCTAGGTTGTGCTGCTATAAATATAGTGATGCAAATTTCTTTCTTAAATGCAGATTTCACTTCATTTGGATATATTCCCAGTAGTGGGATATCTGGAGTCATATAGTACATTAATTTTCAATGATCTGAAATGGTATGCTTTTTAGTTTTTTGTTTTGTTTTTTGTTTTGTTTTTTAAACAGAACACAAATTTGCATGTCATCCCTGAGGAGGGTGCATGCTAATCTCTGTATTATTCTAATTTTAGTGTATACGCTGCCAAAGCAAGCACTGAAATTTTACTTTTTGGACAACTTTGTAATTTCTTCTGGCTTTTTGAATTTTTTGACATAAAGTTGGTCACAGTTCTGCCATGTGTTAATTTTAAGACTGCAACATTTGTAGTAATATTATTTCATTCCTCTCTGATGTGGAAAATTCATGTCTATTAATATTTTTCTATGTTTCCAGTTTGCACTTATTACTACTTTATTTAGGATACTTTCTGCTGATATGTTTCCTTCTAGAAACTCATCCTTAGGTCTTCTTACTCTCATGTCTGCCTAGCTACTTCACAATGTGGAAAATAGGTTAAAATAACTGCTTTGAAGTTATCTTTGACAGGTCATTTTAACATGTATGTCAGTTTTGACTCAGTTTTATTTACAATTTTTTCTTCATTTTAAATCATATTTTACTGTTTTTTATATGTCTTAATTTTGGATTTCTTGACACTATTCTCATTCTTACTTTATTCAATGTTGACTACTCTTATTCCTGTAAATATTCTTGAACTTTATTCTACAATACAATATAAAATCTACCATGTGATACAGTCTTTTAGCCAGTCTCTTAAGCATATAGATGTTTGTTTTTTAATCAATCTTTTTATTACTGGCACAGTTGTGAGGAAATAATTAATCAGTATTCTGTTGATAACAGCATTATTAAATGCTTTTATCAAGTATAGCAATGTGAGTGCAACAGCCGATGCTATGCCGATCCAAAGCCAGGAGCCTCTTCCGGGTCTCCCACGCGGCTGCAGGGTCCCAAAGCCTTGGGCCGTCCTCGACTGCTTTCCCAGGCCACAGGCAGGGAGCTGGAAAGGAAGTGGGGCCACTGGGATAGAACCGGCGCCCATATGGGATCCCGGGGCCTGCATGGCGAGGACCTTAACCACTGTGCCACCGCACCGGGCCCATGCTTCTTTTACATTTCTTATACACCTTAACTGCTACCACATGCCCTACAAGGCAGCAGGGAGCTACACAAGTACTTGGATTTTTTATTTTTATTTTTTTTTTTTTTTTGCTGGTGAGACAAATGAAGACTTCCCCACAGTCCTTATATTCATAAGGTTTCTCTCCAGTGTGAGTTCTCTCATGTATCTGTACTTATCACAAATCAACTAATGGCTTTCCCTCATTGCTTGCATTTGTAAGGTTTCTCTCCAGTATGAGTTCTTTATGTGTTCTTGTGTTCTGAAAGTGCTGAGATAGCTGAAAGATTTCCCACTACCCTACATTTATATGGCCCCTCACCAGATTCTTGCCACCTATGTGGAAGACTCTACTTTGGTCCTTAGCTCTTACCTTTGGTCTGGCCCAGCTACAGTTGATAGTGGCAGTTGAGGAATGGCCTGTGGATTTATTTTTGTTTTAAAGATTTATTTTGTTTTTATTGGAAAGGCAGATATACAGAGAGGAGGACAGAGAGGAAGATGTTCTGTCCATTGATTCACTGCCCAAGTGAGCGCAATGGCCGATTCTATGCTGATCCGAAGCCAGGAGCCTCTTCCAGGTCTCCCACGCGGGTGCAGGGTCCCAAAACTTTGGGCTGTCCTCAACTGCTTTCCCGGGCTACAGCCAGGGAGCTGGATGGGAAGTGGCGCGCATATGGGATCCCGGGCGTGCAAGGCGAAGACTTTAACCACTGCACCATCGTGCCGGGCCCATGGACTATGGATTTAAAGAAATCCTTGTCTTCATCTCCATCTTTTTCTTTCTCTGTGCCCTTCAAAGAAAATGAAATAATAATAGTAATAATAATGATGATTATGATGATGATAATACCTTTGTCTCACATTGCTTGCTGAAACAAGCAGGTATTGCTTTGCAACCAGAGTCTAATATAATTTATTAGACTGTTCCTCCACATGTTGAAGGGATATCAATAAGGAAGGTTGCTTTAATGTATATGTAATGCAACTCAGGAAGTTAATACAACATAGTTTATCTTAAATTGCAAGAGAAGATACTTAGCGAATGAATGATAAAAGAATACTTGTTGATTGTTACAATTTAACATGTATTCTGGAAATAGAGCACTGGGAATGACAAGAACATCTAAAACTACTTTGGTGCATCCTATAACTTGTACCTGAGCCGTTTGTTGCTTAAGGATGTTATTATGCAATTCAAAGCGAGACTACTGATGTTAAGAATAAACTCTAAAATTCTATGCTTTCCTTTACTAAATGAATTGAATTTAAAATTTATATAATGGTTATTTCTACTCATTATTTATTGCATTTCAGTTTTTTTTTTTTAATTCTTAAACGTCCAACACTGTCCTCTCTAGCTATTTCCCCTCATGCTACTATTTTATTATCATTTGCTTTTTTGGGGTAACTACATGATTATCCTATCACCATAGTGTCTCACTTTGCCTTCTTTTCCTCCTAGTCTTCTTCAAGTACATCAGTATCATGTGCTTTGTTGATCCTTTGTGGACTTTCATTTCATATATTAAATTATGATCCCTAAGCCTAAATAGGCTCTGACAAGACTTTTTTTAGGACTGGATCCTTTCCAGATAAACAGTCAGGAATAGCTCCATCTTTGACTATTGGTTAAATATACTATAAAGGAAACAATCCTGAACTGATTCATGGCTGAATATCCTCCCAAATTTACCACATCAGCATTTGTCTGTAGCACTTTTTACCCTAGGCCTTTCACATTTCAAGGGCAAATAGTGAAAGCCAATTTCATAATTTACCATTCTCCAAAAGTTCCTTAGTATTTCAGAAAAAATAGCAGATAAAATATATCCACATATATTTAAGAACTTCAATGTTCTCTTTGCAGTAAAAACCTTCAAAGAACTGAATATAACAGACCTACCCTATCATTTCAAATAAAAAGTATCTAAGGAAACTGTATCCTGTAACCTCTAAGGTGAAAACAACAGCTAATATTTACCAGTATGTGCCAGACACTGTCCCATGCAATGTTTGTTTACTCTCCCCCACAGCCATGCTGTTTTGTTTATTTCATCCTCCCCTAGCCATATTGTTTTGTTTGCTCTTCTTAATCCCATTTTACAAATGTGGAAATCAAGGCACTGGATAATTTAACATATTCTACTTAGCGACATAGATAAATGCCAAATGTCACAGACCCAGGCAGTGGCACCACACAGTCAAACTCCTAATTGCTATATGACACTATTTCTTCAGAGGCCGATACAAATAATTTTGTTTTAAAGCTTAACCATTCTGAAAATTGGCATAACACTTAAAAACATTTTTAGCATTAAATTAAATGACCTGCTATTGCTGTGCATTCGTGCTCACAGATAACATGGTTTATTTAGTGTAAGTAAGGTCTTGGGGTCCAGAATCTTTTTTTAAAGTAGAAATTTATTTTGAGTTCCAATTTAAAAATATGTAAAAATGGATAAATCTGTTACTATTCTTAAAATTGTAATGCAAGGGGAAAATGGTGCTGAAATGAGAACTTACTCTGTGTGCCTCTAAAACATCCGGTGATATGATTTCCACCTACAGAATAGCAGATTTTTAAGCTCCCCACAAAGAGAGAATGGGCCTTATTTTTATATATGTATGATAGTGGTTTCCCAAAGTTAAAGATATAATGATTTAGTAGTTATTTTTATAGTTGGTGTCTCCGTGAACATAGAAGTAACCCATAATGAAAAACTTAAACAAAAAGTGCTTAAGAGGAAAGCTGCTAAAGGAAAGACCAAGTTGTAGCCATGTTGCTACAAATGGAATTTATGCAAAAAAGTAGCCAGTGCATCAGAGCTGAAAGAAAAAATGGCCTTAAGAGCCAGCTGGTTAACACAAATGGTTTTGACATTACAGTTTCATCTAATCACACTGTGAATTTAGATCTCATCAAGCTCTGTACAGTCAATTTGCAACATGCCGACAAATGACTTTGCTATCACTTATTGCCCATTTTGTTATAATGGAAGCTACTCAACTCCATTTCTCTCAAGCCCTCATTCACGTTTGTTACTCTTGATAGCCGTTCCCTAACTCCTTAAAACATCTTTTGTATTTTTTTTTTAAATGTTGCCCCATCACAAGCCTCATATAAATCCCAGCTTGCTGTTTTTGTACTTGCCTGGTCCTTGGCCTCTGTTTTCATTTTCTTTCCAACTGTAATTCTTTTCATTATGACTACTCCAAACATGTGTCCTACACAGACACCAATGTATGTGAATGTATGTGTGCCCAAAATATGTCTGTCTAAAGGCTCATAGTATATTTTGAATTGTCATCAAATGTGCAGAAGTCAGGGCAGATTTTAACAATACTGAGAACTAAAAAAAAAAAAATAGTACTAAGAACAAAGGTGAGTTTTATTTTTAAAATATCTTTTAAAATTACTATTTGCTATTTGAAGGACAGAGATACATAGAGAAGATTAGAGAGGTTTGCTTTACTGGTTCCCTCTCCAGGGGCAAGGTTGTATGGGTGGAGTAGGGCTAGCATGAAGCCACAAGCCAGAAGCTTTGCCCTAATCTCTGTGTGATTGGCAGGGGCCCACATATGCTTTCCCAGGCACATTAACAAGTAGCTTCATCAGAAGCGGAGCACTAAGGACTTGGACCAGCATTCATCTGCGTGTCAGCATCATAAGGCGGTGTGTTAACCCTCTGCACCAAACAGCCCCAAGGTTTTTTCTTATTCCGTATGGCATCTAAACTGAATCTCTGAATTCTTCCTTTAAACCTACGCAGGAAGCAACCTTATATCTATTTCAAATACTTACTTAGTCACAGTTGATTAGTTAAACAGTTAAAGCATAGGTTTTACACACACATCAGAGGTATAGGTACAAAACTAACAAAATCAGTAGCAACAATAAAATTTTTCAAAGGAGGCAATGTAATATTCTTTGATTTTTCGGCTCAGGAAAAAAACATGTTAGTTCAGAAGACCAACACCCACGTAACCTGTTACTCAGCTCTGGTTGTCATGGCAAAACACTATGGACTGGTGGCTTCAATGTGGAATTGTGTTTCTTTTTTCTTTCTTTC